GTTTCAAAGCAAAAGCTTCCTATTGGTTTTTAAATCAAATTGGTTTTCTCTAAACCAATTTATAAATAGTTATTTATAAATAAATAACTCAAAATAAAAACAACTCATCCTAAAAAATTGTGGAGAAAAAGATTGAGTATATCTTTTTAAAAGCAAGTGCATCCTAAGGCATAAAAAAGCCACTATAACGTAGGAGAAAGAATACTGGGAAAAGAAGTCGGAGGCTTGTGTTCTAGTTCTGTCTTTGGGCCTCCATGTCTGAGCTTGGGCAAATGTTTTCCTTTTGGGCCTGTTTCCTCATCTGTAAAATGGGAAATTAGACTAACTTATCAATGGTTCCTTCAAGCGGGACTATCCACAATGTCATCACAGTTGTTTTTCTTTTTTTTCCGCATAATGTTCTATCCCAACCTGATACGTCTCTCCTCAGTACACCAGCCTCAAACCTTCCATTGGCATCAATATCTTTCCTAGCTCCTTAACTTAGGTATATATGAATCTAGATGGAAATAAAAACCAAATGTTTTTAAAAGTGAGAAAGTAACATCAACATTTATAACATTTCCCTCAGTCATACTTCTGGACTGTCTTTGTTTAGACTGCTTAGGTTTTCTTTTTCTATCTTTAGCCTCCACCCATGGTTTTCACACAGAATGTGCCAATTTTTCAAGTGTGGGGAACCAATACTCCTCTTACTCCCTCCCCTCCTCCTTTGGATCCTCCCTTCCTGTTCCTCCTTGTTTTCTATTTATTCTGATGCTCCCAGAGAGGTTAGGCTTTCACTGCTGAGGTTCCCTAAATCCTGTCTGCGAGTCAGATGGTTCCTGGCTTTAATGTGGAAAGCAGAGCCTGCTTGTTTCTTTCTCAGAATAGATTGATCACACGTTGCATTTACTAATTAACAACCTTCCTGCAAGGTTGTTTGGGGAGTCTTGGAAGTTGCCTTCTTTAGAAAAATTTGTTCACTTCCAGAGCTTAAAGTGACGCTCTTAATTCATATCACCAAATTGAGCAAGACTTTTATTAACATGTAACCACTTGGTATTCCCCAAATCTACCCTACAAGCTGACTATTGACTACTCCAGAAGAGTCACTAAGAATTTTGAGTTTTAAAGATCATGGAACTTACAGTAGATAAGAGACTAGTGGTCATAAACTGGACGTTGATTTTATGAGTTGCTACTTGGGCAACAAGCTATAGATGAAACTAAAAACGTAAGTTTGACAGGTTGGTGGTTCACCTCTGGGCCACCAGTCACAGAACTCTGTACAACCAGGCAAGACATGGACCCCCTCTTGTTAATGTACTTGATTAAGGTGGGCTTAGCAAAGCAGACACATACTGAAATGACTTGTCTGGAACAGTCAGGATTTGAGTTCACAGAAGGCTAAAGAATGCTCTGAGGCTAGGTAGCGGGCAGGAAGGCAGCCAGAAGCCAGAAATCTCAGCTAAATCAAAGGTCAAGGCAAAGGTTAAGCAAGGAGGTAGATCTGCATGCAGAAGTCAGAGCATCGATGAGTGCATCACCTGTGTGGGTCAGGCCATGGGACAAGTACAGATAGACACACGGAATTCCAGGGAGGCCCAGATACAGAAGAATAAGGAAACGAAGGGAGCCAAAAGTGTAGGTACAGTCAAGAACTCTGTAGAAGCCAAAGCAGGTGAGGTGGGTAGAAGAACAAATGCCCCTTTCCTTAGAAGATCCCAATCCTGGGCAAACGGTCCCAGCCAAGGCCTCTCATATGAAAGATGGATGGACATCCACTGCAGAAGTGGCCCAGGACAGCTGGGAGACTGAGGGAAGATGATCTTCATCCACAGAGGGGGGTATATTGGCACTGGGACAAAGTCTATCCTCTTGTTACTTTTTGGTAGTTTACTGAGGGAACCTCACAAAGCAATGTGTCTGAAGGGAGCTGTAAAGCCCAATTCTTTACAGTAAAAAAATTGGGCAAGCAGAGAAATGGAAAATAAATTATTCTAGCTTCATATAGTGGAAAACTCTATATTTATTAAAAATGATGACATAGATATTTTCTATTGATATGGAAGAATGTCTATAATAAAATGAGGAAAAAACATGCTATGGACAGAAATATGGTATCATTCCAATTAGAAAAAAAAATTGATCCTATTGTCATGTACATACACATGCATGTGTACACACACATAGGACTGAGATTCAGCTGCTACTCACATGGTAAGGCCGTCATAGACATACTTGTTGTTGATTGTCAATGTCTGTGTTCTGATTAGTTAGTGCCTTTCCTATACAAGTTGTTAAATATTTTAAATGTTATTCTTGTATGTATATGTTGTGGATCGAATTATGTCCCCCCAAAACTCATTGAAGCTTGAATTGTGTCCCCCCAGTTTTATGTATTAGAAACTTAGCTCCCACTGTGACTGTTAAGAGAGTGGGAAATCCTATTATGGTAATTGAAAGGTGGAGCCTTGAAGAGGTGATTGGATTGTAGGATGATGGAGTAGTGAACAGATTAAAAATGGTGGTCAGGGGTGTGGTTCTGAGGGCTTTAAAAGAAAAAGAGAGTCTGTCTCTCTCTCTCTCTGCTTCCACCATTTTGCAGCGTGAGACCCCTGGGTCACTGTCACCACCACCAGATGGGCTTTGGGCTTCCCAACTTCAGAAACTTAAGCAATAAATTTTGTTTTCTTTATAAATCACCCAGTTTCAGATATTTTGTTATAAATACCAAAAACAGATTAATACAGTATACATAGGAAAATATTCCCCCAGTTGCTAACTCTGACCATCTTTGGGTGGGTCTTGGGAATTTTTACTTTCTTCTCCATACTTTTTCATATTGTTTTAATTTTTCACAGCTTGCATATGTCAATTTTACAGTCAGAATAGATAATAAATTTATTTTCATTTTGGAAAAAAGTTATATAAGATTTGCTTAAGCAAAAAGAAAAAAAATAATAAAGTCTCAGAAGAGAGCCTCTGATATGAATAAGCATATCAAGTAAACTTTTCCTTTGGACATTGAGAAATTTGGCACTTTTTCTTCAAAATTATGGTGTTCTCATGGGAACTGGCTTGTTATGGTATTTCTTTGCCTCAAGTGTCAAAACCTCATTTTTGGGGGCACAAGGGCACTAGACTGCTTAGGCAAATGCAGTAAGCCTAATGAGTCTAGATTTCACAGAGACAGATCACAAATGTTCTCATGATGTGCTTTTGGTCAAGATAAGGAAACATGGACTGGATGCTAAGACACTTGGTAGGGTTTGAAGAACTACATTGTGTCAAGGGCCCTAATGAAATGCAGTGGCAAACTGGAGTATGATTTTTGGGTCAAATCCTTGGGCTCTATCTTCAGCCCTGTGCTGGTTAGTATTTAAGTCATTGACTTGAATGAAGACAAAGATGCCAGGGCAGACCTGTGGGATGTGTGGTTGACTTGAAGCAAAGAAGAAGAGTGGCAAATATTTCAGATGATAGAATCAGTATCCAAAATGACAGAGAAGACACAAGAGGGATCAATGTCAGGTTCTGCTCTGGAATCCAAAGGCCCAGGAATGAGCAGACAGGGGTCGATTGGCTGCCAGAAAGTCTCTGGGAGCTGGTGAACAGAAAACACAATATGTGTCAGAAGCGTAATGAGGGAACCGAAAAGCTATAAGGATCGTAAACAGCGTTGCAGAAATGAGTCATGCAGAACGAGGAACCATCAATCTTGTACCACATTGAATGTCAAAGATGACAGCTCTTTAGAGACAGAATGGGTTGCCTTGTGAAGGGGTCTCCAGCTCAGTCTCTCTTCCTTTCCCAGCCCTCCAAGGAAGTGGTGAAGGAGATGATACAATTCTCCAAGGATACACTGGAAAAAATAGACAAGGCTCGCTCTGAGGGTCTGTATCATGAGGTAAGAACTCACTTTTATAGGGGATGGGGGTGAGGAGAAGGGTGGAAAGGCTGTCCAGTAAGGGAGGGAAGTGGGGTGAGGATGGGGAGGCACCAAGCAGGTTGTTTTTCTGGAAGATGTCCCTTGGTTGAAGCCATTACTCTTCTTGACCTTAAACCTTGAGCACCTCTGAGGAATGTGTTCTCAGCGACTGTTTAACCCACTGAAACTGGGTCTGAGGAGAGCAAACGCAGCCTGAAAATGGCCCTGGGGCACCTATGAAATCTAAGGCTGGCACCAGAGATGGAGGAATGGAGATGGCGGTGGGACATGCTGGGAGTGGGTTGTTTGCTTTCTCCTAACTGACTCATGTGCTGCTGTGGTTTCCAGTCTCTACCAATGGAGCATTCAACCTTGGCTGTCAAAGCACCAGAGATTCTCATCTGCCTGTACACTAGCATCACCTTNGTCACATTCTGAGGTTCTGTGGGGGATAGGAGTTCAACATGTGAATTTTGGGGGGATACAATTCAACCCATAACACTGTGTGCACTACCATTTATGAAAATTAAAAGGGATATACACACTCACACAAACACAGACCCATGCTCACACAGGCATGGGCAAGCATAGTCCGTCTCCATACAGACAGAAGTAGGAGAGGAGGCTGTGACCAACAGGTCGAAAATGCCTAAGGTAGTGAAATTGGCAGACAGCCCTCCCAGGACAGGAGACAAAGCAGTTGGGACCCAAGGATTAACATGTTCTTTATAGGAACAACATCCTTTTCATAGAATCAAAGTTCCTGTATTCCAGACAGTCTATACTAGCATGTATGCATGAGGCAGGAGTGCAGTGTCATAGGTGCTACAGAGAAAAGTCATCACTGTGTCCCCCCACCCCGGACCTTCAGAACCTGTGGGATAACATGTCTTCTTTGCGAGCCAGCAGCCTTCCCTCCTGGAGCCTGGCCCTGAGTGTTTGTTTCATAACTTGCTCCCAACACCAATTAATTATTTTGTTAATAGCCCAGACACTCTTTTCTCCCTTCTAAAGTTAAACCATCATGTAGTAATTTTTCTAAATCTTTTGATGTTTACCTGGCAGTTTCCAATACTTCCATAGGTAATATGTGGTCTTCAGTTCCTAGGTCTTCTCAATATGCTCCTGTCTTCCAGCCTAAATTGCAGAGTTGGCATCTCTCTTGATATAAAAGATCTATGGTTTGTGCTTGAACCTACCCGGTTTCAAAGCAAAAGCTTCCTATTGGTTTTTAAATCAAATTGGTTTTCTCTAAACCAATTTATAAATAGTTATTTATAAATAAATAACTCAAAATAAAAACAACTCATCCTAAAAAATTGTGGAGAAAAAGATTGAGTATATCTTTTTAAAAGCAAGTGCATCCTAAGGCATAAAAAAGCCACTATAACGTAGGAGAAAGAATACTGGGAAAAGAAGTCGGAGGCTTGTGTTCTAGTTCTGTCTTTGGGCCTCCATGTCTGAGCTTGGGCAAATGTTTTCCTTTTGGGCCTGTTTCCTCATATAGGATGTGGAAGTTAGTTTAGAAGTACATTTAAGTATTTGTATATTAAATACACTAGTAGACTGTCAGTTTTATAGAAATGCTCAGTTAACCTCCCCTGAAAGTCTGGCTCCTGATTAAAAACCTATGTGTGATTTCTCAGGCCCTGCCACAGGCAATGACAAAGGCTTTACCTGGCAGGCCTCAGCAGAAAGCTGCCCTCGTCCACCAGACCTGGTGCACAGCCAGTGCATGGCTGTCTGGGAGGGTGGCGGGGAGGGAGACAGTGCACGATGCAGTCAAGAAATTAGGCTTCCCTGTGTGGTCATGCTCTTCACATAGTTGCATTCCTGGCCTGGGCACCTTCATTCTTGGGTCTCTTTATCTGACACCTTGGGCTAAGGTCCTCCTCAGCACCTCTGCTGAGGCCTCCTTATGGAAGGAAGAGGGCGAAGCCTTGAAGACACTTTTCCCCACTCTGACTTGGTACCCAGTACTTTTCCATCCCTAGCACTTCACCCTCTACTTCCCTCCAACCCTAGGTCTGTAAAGCTGCTGGAGGCTTTGTTGGGGCTCCCTCAACAGTGAGATGCCCCCATACCTGTGCTGATCCACCTGACCCTCGCTGGTGCACTGCTCCATGGGAGGAAATGGACCAGGGGAGGCGACACTTTCTCCGGTTTTAGCTTCTTGCTTACACTATTGTAGTAAGTGATTACAGACTCCACTCTCCTTTTCAGCTTGCTGCTTTCATCAGCTACTCTGACACCTGGCAGCTCAGCTTCCCTCCCAGCTCAGCTGAGCTCCTACGTCCCCTCAGCAAGCCTTCCTCTGGTGCTCTGCTGCTCAGAGGACTCAGCAGCAACAGCTGCTAGGGAGTAAAGGACATCAACCAAGCTAAACATTGCCCAGTCTCCATAGGAGTATCTTTATAATGACCAGACAGCAAACTCCTTTGCCAGTCTCATCGCGATATCTGAAATTCTCAGCATTCCTTAACCTGTAAAGGGGCAGGAGGAGGAACCAAAATTTGCCGAGCGTCTACTCTATATGCTGGTCCCTTTACATACATCATCTTGTTTAGTCCTTGTAACAACCCCTTGTACTGGGACCATTATTCCTATTTTACCGAAGAGAAAACTCAATGGCTTCCCCAAATGCAAGCACCCGGCAAGTGGTGGTGCCAGGACACTAGTACTGCACTAGCCACCACACCATGCCACCTCCCCAATGGTTAGAGGCTGGTCCTCTGGGAAGGCATTGGGCAGAAGCATATTGATTAGCTGTGGAATCCCCTCTTGACTGGCTCCTTGATGGCCACGAACACCCCACAGCAGGGCTCTGTGTACCTTGGGGTCGTCTTTCACCCCGAGGAAG